CCCTGCACGACGCCCCAAGAGGCTTCCAAGAGCACTCGCAAAAAGGCCCTAAGAGGAACAATCACTGATTTCCCGATGGTTTTTGAAGCATGTCGGAGTTCTCGCCCATTCCGTTTCCCGACGCTCCAAGACGGTCCAAGAGACCCCCCACATCGCCCCAAGACGGCTCCAGGAGGGACCCGAAACGGCTTCAGAGGGCCCCAAGACGGCCCAAGACGCCTCCAAGACGGCCCAAGAGGCCCCCAAGACGGCTCCAAGAGGGTGCCCAGACGAGGGACCATAACTGACATTTCGAGCCCTCGGCCCCGAGAGGCTCCCAGGAGGAATCAAGAGGCCCCCAAGAGACTCCCAGGAGGCCTGAGAGGCCCCCAATAGGGCCCGAGGAAGCCAGAAGAGGCCCCCAAGAGGCTCCCAAGATGCCCCCAGGAGGCTCTCAAGAGGCCTTCGGCTGTCCCTCAGAGGCCGCCGAGAGCGCTTCGAAGAGACCCCAAGAAGCATCCATGAGGACTCTGGCCCACGTCAACGTCGTCGTCGTCGCCGCCGCAATTTTCGTCGCTGCCCTTCAGGGTCGGCGGCACCGGCTGTAAGGCCTTCGCAATTGTACCCGAATGTTGTTCCTGGGAATTCAGCACCTCGCGAATCAAAGTGACTGTTGCGTCCTGGCAGTCCTAAACGATACCAGAACCACATTCCTTGGAGTTGAAAGGGAACCACCCTCCATCCTTGAAGCTGCTGCAAAGTTGTAAGGCCGCATCTTGAAAACGAGCCGCCCTCCATCCGTGACGCGGCTAAGCACTTTTAAGACGAATGCGCGCGGCGCCGGGGCGATAGACACACTTCGAAAACCACGCGCCCTCCATCCTCGAAGCTGTTGCAAGCTTTCAGAACGAGTGTGCGCGGAGCTAAGTGAGGAAGAGCATCTTGAACATTGCCCGTCCTCCATCCGCTTCAGGATCATACCTGGTGAGGAAGCCTCAAGCGAAACGCCTGGCTCGCCCTACCAGCACGTCTGGGGGTGCGACAGGGAGGAGTTACTGATAATGACAAGGGGGATAGGAGGTGGATGAGGATAAAGATGAGGATGATGATAAAGATAAGGAGAATGATGCTGCTGCTGCTGATGATGATAACAATAGTGATGCTGATGATGCTGCCAATGCCGATGATGATGACGATGATGATAATAGTAGCACTGATGATGACGACGATGATGCTGCTGCAACTGATGATGATGATGATGATGATGATGAGGAGGAGGAGGAGGAGGAGGAGGAGGAGGAGGAGGAGGAGGAGAGGAGGAGGTTAGGAGGAGGAGGAGGATGGGAAGGGAGTGAGGAGAGGAGGCGGAGCATGAGGGAGCAGAAGGAGGAGGAGGAGGGAGGAGGATGAGGGGGGAGGAGGAGGAGGCGGAGGAGGCGGAGGAGGAGGAGGAGAGAGAGGAGGAGAAGAAAGAGGAGGAGGAGGATGAGGAGGAGGAGGATGAAGAGGATGAAGAGGAGTGAGGGGGGGAGGGAAGGGGGGAGGAGTGAGGAAGGAGGAGGAGAGAGGAGAGAAGGGGAAACGAGCAAGGAAAGCAATCGATGGACCCCCTTCGGCCCTCGCGGCAATGGCCGAGGAGGCCCTTCCGGCCAGGGCCAGGGGCGGGGGGGGGGGCGGCCGGGGCGGCTGGGCCGAAGGCCGCCAGAGCACGCGCCCTGCCCGCACGCTGATGTTCACCTGGGTTCTTCCGCTCGTGCCCGTCGTCGTCGGCGGCAGACGTCTGCGACTCTGTCCTCCTCCCTCGTCGTCGCCATTATCGTCGCCGTCGTCGCTGTCGTCGTCGTCCTCTTCCTCCTCCTCCTCCTCCTCCTCATCTCCCACTGTTCCTCTTCCCTTCTTCCATCCTTTCCCCCGTCCCTCCCCCTATCTTCCCTCTTCTCCCTCTCCTCCTCCTCCTCCTCCACCTTCCTCCTCCTCCTCCCTCCTCCCTCCTCCCTCCTCCCTCCTCCTCCTATCCTCCCTCCTCCCTCCCCCTCCTCCCTCCTCCTCCTCCCCCTCCTCCCTCCTCCCTCCTCCTCTCCTCCTCCCTCCTCCCTCCTCTCCTCCTCCTCCTCCTCCTCCTCCTCCTCCTCCTCCTCCTCCTCCTCCTCCTCCTCCTCCTCCTCCTCTGGCACCTGTGCCACTGGGACACCTTCCCAGGAAAACAAGCGGGTAGCAGCCCGATCGTCACCCTTGTTTGCCCGTAGGGGGCCAAGGGGAGAGAAAACTGCTCTCGTCGCCAGCGGCCACCCATGGAGTGGGTGGTGGGTAGGTTGGGCGTCGGAGCACGGACTCCAGCGCCCCCTACCCCGAACAGGGCGCGCGGAGCACGGTCTCCTTGCGCGTCCTATTTCGCGCATTTTCCTGTGGGGAGGTGTTCGGCCGCTCCTGCAGGTCCCGCATTGCAGGAGTCAGTCATGTGCGGTGCGAGCGTCGAGCTCAAAAAAATCCTCCTCCTCCTCCTCCTCCTCCTCTTCCTCCTCCTCCTCCTCCTCCTCCTCCCGCTGTTCCTCTCCTCTTCCTCCTTCCCTCCCTTTCCTCCGTCCCCCCTCTCCTCCCTCTCCTCCTCCTCCTCCTCCTCCTCCTCCTCCTCCTCCTCCTCCTCCTCGAGAACGGGGGATTGTGGAGCCCCTCGGGGTTCCAGGGCGCGCGCGCGAGGCTTTCACACTGAGTTCGCGCGTGCGTCTTTCAGTGGTGTGGCGTGCTCTGTGGCGTCCCTTCTCTCCTTTCACCTCCCCCTCCTCCTCCTGCTCTCTCCTCCTCCTCCTCCTCTCCTCCTCCTCCTCCTCCCCTCCTCCTCACCTCCTCCTCCCTCCTCCTCCTCCTCTTTTTTTTGTTTATTGTTTTTTCTCTCTTTCTTTCTTTCTTTCTTTCTCTCTCTCTCTCTCTCTGTCTCTCTCTCTCTCTCTCTCTCTCTCCCCCCCCGTTTTTTTTTTTGGGGGGGGGGGTGTTGGCGGCGAAAGAAGGAATGCGACGTGGCCTCATCTGCACCCCCCCAGAAGGATTCCTATTGAACGCCCCCACAAGAAGGATTCATAGTGAAATCCTCTACAGAAGGATTCCTATCGAAACCCTCCACTGAATGATTCCTACTGAAATCCTCCACATATGGATTCCTTTTGAAATCACCCGCAGAAGGATTGATATTGAGATGCTTCTAAAGAAAGAACCCCCCGTTGGCATTGCATTGGCATTGGTTTGGCAATGGTTTGGCATCGCCTTGGCATTGCGTTGGCATTGCGTTTGGCAGTGCGTTGCAAATGTGCTTGCATCTCGCAAGCGTTGCGCTGGCGAGTCCTAATGGAACCCTCCACAGAAGGACTCCGATCGAAACCTTCTACAAGAGGGCTTCTTATTGAAACCCTCCACAAAAAAACGGTTCATATTGACACCTTCCACAGAAGGATTCCATGCGAAACCCTCCACATAAGGATTCCTATTGAAATCTACCACAAAGGATTTCCCCCATTTGCAGTGCATTGGCATTGGGTTGGGATCGCTTTGGCATTGGTGTAGCATTGCGTTGGCACTGCGTTGGCATTGCGCTGGCGAGTTCCAACACCCCCCTTCGCAGAATGATTCCTACCTGTTGAACCCCCCACAAGAAGGATCCCGATTGAAGCATCCCACAAGAAGGGTTCACATTGAACTCCCTCACGGAAGGATTCCATTCGAAGCCCTCCGTAGAAAGATTCTTCTTGAACCCGAACACAAACGATTTCCCCCATGGGCATTGCATTGGCATTGGTTTAGCATTGCTTTGGTATTGCCTTGGCATTGCGCTGGCGAGTTCTAATAGCTCCACCCACAAGGATTCCTATGAAAACCTTGCGCAATAAGGGGTCCTTTTGAAAGCCCCCACATGGAGGATTCAAAGTGAACCCCCCACAGACAGATCCCGATCGAAACCCTCCACGGGGGGATTCCTATCGAAATCCTCCGAAGAAGGATTCGTAACCAAATCATTCACATAAGGATCCCGAATGAAATCTGTTGGAAGACAGGAATCCCGCCATCGGCATTGCATTGGCATTGGTTTGGCCACGGTTTGGCGTCACATTGGCATTGCGTTGGCATTGCGATGGCAGTGCGTTAGCAGTGCGTTGACATTGTGCTGGCGAGTCCTACTCAATCACTTCATTGAAGGATTCCTATTGAGCAGCCCCACAAAAAGGATGCCTATGTAATCCCCCCACAAGAAGGATTCAAAGTGAAATCCTCAACCGAAGGACTCCATGCGAAGCCCTTCATATAAGGTTTCCGATAGAAATCCCCCGAAGAAGATTTCTTAAAAGATCTTAAAAGGATTACTATTGAAATCTACCCCACAAACATCCCCCGATTGGTATTGCATTGGCATTGGTTTGGCATTGTGTTGGCACTGCTTCGGCATTGCGCTGGCGAGCTCGAATGGCTCCCACCACAGAATGATCGTCATCATCCCCCGGAAGAGGAATGGGATGACGAGAAAGGGCAGGCGTACTGCCGACCACGCTCATCAGTGCAACAATCTCTCTTTCCTGTCTCCGTCCCTGTCCCCTCCTCCAGCCGCGCACTAGCCCAGCCCGCCCCCCGAGGCAGCTCCTGGCTGCCTTCCGGCAGGCCGCCCCGAGTAGCCTGGGGCGGTCCACACCTCACCGGGTGGAGGCGGCGCCGGGGCGTTAAAACAATCCAGGGCTACAACTTTTGGAGGTCCGCGCAGATTTCAGGGGTCGGCTGCCCAACGCTGGCGCAAGAACTCCCCGCAGACCTTCGAATATGTGGATGATTATTATTTTGTTTGGGTTCTTCGGTGCTCAGGGGACCGAGTGCTGCTGGAAAGGCCTCGGGTGGTCGTCTGTGCGCAACCCGAAGCCTTGCCTGGAGAGCTGCCACATGGGGTCCGAGTAGTTCTGGTCGGAGGATCGCGCTGCATCGCCGATGCATCGCCGACGTCGGCATGGATACAATACATCTCCACGTCGAATCGCCCCGCCGATGCAGCGGCGATGCGGCGCGACCCTCCGACCCTACCTACTCCGACCCTCTTTGAGCGGCCTGGAAACATGCGCGGCATGCACGACGCGAACCGCGCGCCCGCCTCCGGCTGCGCCGCCAGGTCCATGCCGAGCAGCTTGCCCAGCTCGCTGCTGTAGAGGCCGACGACGGCGCGCGACGGGTCGCTGGTAGAGACTTTTTTTCATCTTTCTACAACTTACGAAGGGAGGAGGAGGAGGAGGAGGAGGGGGAGGAGGAGGATGATGAGGAGGAGGAGGAGCAAGAGGAGGAACAGGAGGGGTAGGAGAAAACCAACATCAAACTGGCAAATAAGGAGTGCAACTGGTAGACAAGGCTCAGGTGCTCCTGCGGCGGGTTCACGGGCCGCCGCCGCGTTCTTCCAGTCAACGCGCGCCCGGGGTGGCCAAGCAACGGCGCGGGCGGCCCAACACCCCGTACCGCGGGGGGGAAGGCGGAGGAGGAGGAGGAGGAGGAGGAGGAGGAGGAGGAGGAGGAGGAGGAGGAGGAGGAGGAGGAGGAGGAGGAGGAAGAGGAGGAGGAGGAGGAGGAGGAGGAGGAGGAGGAGGAGGAGGAGTGGCGGGAGAGAGGAGGGGGAGGAGGAGCCAGTGGGGAAGGAGGGAGATTGAATACCAACATGCTTGAGCGCTTTTGGGCCTCCAGAGGCTTCCAGAAGCATTAGCACTTGGGAGCTTCCAGCAGACCTCGGGAGAACTCCCCAGACATCCTCCGGTATGATTTTCTGAATCCTCGGCCCCAGAGGGTCCTTCCCCTTCCTCGGGATAGCTTGTCGTTTTACATTATGTTTGATGGTCCTAGGCCCAAATGACGGGCCCTGGATACCGACATTTTGGGGAGAAGCGCCAGGACGGGCAAAAACATCATTTTGTCGCAAAGCTCGGTCTGGAGACCTTCAGAGATCTCTTGGGTCCTCAAGAAAGCAACGATTGATAAAAGCTTCCGTCAACCCGTATAAAGGATGCGCGGCAAGGATGCAAGGGCCTCAGAAGGCCACACTTTGCGGGCGGGGCGCGACCAGCGAAAGCGGCCAAGCATGGGCCGAAGAGCAAGAATGCAAAAGTCACCTAAGAGAGTTGCCCATCCTGACTATCCCGGCCGACTGCGCCCTGTGTTCCTTACATAGAAGAAGAAAGAACGCCATAAACATAAACTTTTGGCGCTCCGCGCGGATTTCTTGGATCTGCGCTGGACCCCCCTCCCTTTGTGCGCGGAGCGCGCCATGGGCGGCGCCTGAGGCGCCGCTGGGGAGCCCCAACGCAGATCCAAGAAATCCGCGCGGAGCGCCGAAAGTTTATGCCTATGGCGTTCGTCTTCTTCTCCTCCTCCTCCTCCTTCTTCTTCTTCTTCTTCTTCTCCTTCGGTTGAACATCGCCGACGGGGCGCCGCCCCCGCCGTCAGTCCCAGGTCGATCCCTGCCGTGGGCAACCGCCGAAGTGCGCCGACGAGGCGAGGTGGATCACCGAGCGGCGGGGACCGCCCGCGCTCATTTGTGGCGGCAAGCCCGTAGACCTGGTCTGTTCCAATGTCACCGGGCGTCCAAACCTTTTTCCCCCCAAGGCATTTTTTCCAGTAGGGGCAGTCTTTTTGGCAATCCCGGGGCCCCGCGGGGGCTCTCAGAGGCCGAAGGCGGCGAACAAACCGCACGCGTTTTTTTGCCCCCCCCAATCCCCCGAGCGTGGAAGGTCAGGGCCAGCTTCTGAAAACAACGCAACGCGGACGCCAAGTTGGCCCTCTTGCGCCGCAAAGCCACGCGCGCTTGCCGGGGTACGGGAACGGCACCCGTGCACCGTAATTACAATGCTTCGGCCCTGAGGGCCGAACAGCCGTGCACCGTACCGTCCCCTGGTCGAGGGTTGACGGAGCCCCAGGAGGCACCCGCGCGGCGCGGTGCACACAACTCGCCATCGGACGGTAAGGCCTCGGGCTGCGCACAGACAGTCCCCCGAGGTAGTTCTGGCTGGCCTCAACAGGCCCTCCGAGTAGGCCAGAGCGGTCTCGACACCCCAACTCTGGGGCGCGGAGCGCCCCAGGGGCGACGCTGGAGGCGGTGCCAAGTTGCTTGGACCGCCACGGACTACTCGGGGAGCCCGTCGAGGCCAGCTGGGGCTACTTCGAGGGGCTGTCTGTGCGCAACCCAAAGCCTGTCCGCTCGGGGTCGTCCGCGAAGGGGGTTCGCAGATCATGGCCCGAGGCACGTGCGCGGCCCAGGGGAGGTGCTAAAGGATTCGGTGAAATAGGAAGACAGGGCCACGATATCCGGGGAGATATTACGGCCCAGGCCATGACATTTGCCCCGCCCCTTGTCATCACCCACTTCCCCTTTGGCCGTCCCCTTTCCGCGGACGGGGGGTCCAGAAGCCGAGCCACCGTCTTCGAGATCGCCGAAGTAGGCAACAGAGGCGAAGGGACAAAGGCGAAGAGACGGTGCCCAGGGCCTCTGTTTTGGTTCCCGGAAGTCTCTGGGGACACACAGGAGGCCAACGCCATCAGAAATATCGATCCTCTTCCACCTCCTCCTCCTGGTTCCTGGTTCCTGGTGCCATGAGGTCCCGGCGGGTGCTGCCCTCCTCCTCCTCCTCCTTCTCCTCCTCCCCCTCCTTCTCCTCCCTCCCTCCTTCTCCTCCTCCTCCTACTCCTTCTCCTCCTTTTCTTCCTTCTCCTCCCTCCCTCCTTCTCCTCCCTCCTTCCCTCTCTCTCTCTCTCCCCCTCCCTCCCTCCCTCCTCCTGCCTCCTCCTCCTTACTTCCTCCTCCCACCCTCCCTCTCTCCCTCTACACTGCCCCTCGCGGCCTCGGCTCGGCCTCCTGGGCCAGCCGCCGCACCGCCCACGTGCCCTGCAGCCGCGGCAGCACGTCCACTGGCGCCTGTCGCGGCGGGCCCGCCGCCGCCTCGGAGGGCCCTTGCAAGACCCTCGGCGGCCCTCGGCGGCCTTCGGAGGCCTTCGGAGGCCCTTGGTGGCCGGGACAGCGGGGCGGTGGCAGCGCCGTCGTGAAGCTGAAAGACGGATGCGCAAGGCGCTAGGGCAGCCGTCGCCATCGCCGTCGCCGCCGCCGCCGTCGTCGGCACGGCGCTAGGGCCGCCGTCGCCATCGCCGTCGCCGCCGCCGCCGCCGCCGCCGCCGCCGCCGCCGCCGCCGTCGTCGTCGTCGTCGTCGTCGTCGTCGTCGTCGTCGTCGTCGTCGTCGTCGTCGTCGTCGTCGTCTTTCCTGCCGCCGCTGATGGTGATCAATGATCAGGTTCGGTGTTCCGAGTGTCCAGGGTCGAGGATCGAGGTTCGAGGCGGCGGCAGCCTCGTCCTCCTCCTCCTCCTTCTCCTCCCCCTCCCCCTCCTCCTCCTTCTCCAACTGCTTCTCCTTATCCTCTTTCTTCTGCTCCTTTTCCCCTCCCCCTCCTCCTCCTCCTCCTCCTCCTCCTCCTCCTCCTCCTCCTCCTCCTCCTCCTCCCCCTCCATGCACACAGGAGGATGAGGAGGAGGGGGCAGAGGAGGAGGAGGAGGAGGAGGAGGAGGAGGAGGAGGAGGAGGAGGAGGAGGAGGAGGAGGAGGAGGAGGAGGAGGAGGAGGCACGTAGTCTCCTCCTCATCCCCCCTCCTTCTTCCTCTCCTCCATCCCTTGTCCTGAAAACAGACTCCTCCCGGTCGCACCCCCGGACGTGTCGGTAGAGCGGGCCGGGTGTTTGGCCTGAGACTTCCTCGGCATTTATGATCCTGAAGCCTGAAATTTGTAACAACTTCACGGGTGGAGGGCTGGTGATTTTCAACATGTGGTTCTCGCCTTAGCGCCGCTCACATTCGTCTTAAACAGTTGTAGCAGTTTCGCGTATGGAGAGCGGGTCGTTTTCAACATATGGTTATTGCTTCAGCGCCGCGCACATGTGTCTTAAAAGTTCGCAACGGTTTCACGGATGGAAGGCGGGCCGTTTTCAACATGTGGTTGTTGACTTTGCGCCGCGCGAATTCGTCTCAAAGTTTGCAACAGTTTCAAGGATGGAGGGCGGGCCGTATTTCATCATGCGGTTCTTGCCTTAGCGCTGCGCGCATTCGTCTCAACGTTTGCAACGAGTTCACGGATGGAGGGCTGGCCGTTTTCAAAACGTGGCTCTCGCCTTCGCGCCACGCACATTCGTCTCAAACATTTGCAGCAACTTCGTGGATGGGGGGCGGCACTTTTTCGAAATGTGGCTCTCGCCATCGCACCGCGCATATGATTTACAGCAATTTGAAACATTCGTATGGTCGAACTCCAAGGACGGGTGTGCTGACGGGACAGTCCAACTGATTCGCGATGATGAAGTCCCAGGAATGTTTTGCTGGCATGAATTAGATGTCAAAACGCAGCATTCACGTTGATCCGCGGCGTTGCAATGGCCGGGAGTGTGTTTTGGTATGGCTGAGAATTATGAGACGATTGTCTTCTAATAGGCCACATCCCGCAATGACGACCATGTCTTGTAGTGGCTCATGAAAAAACTTGGAGGGAGTGATTCTTGCAACATCGCAGCCGCATCTTGAGTTTACACTGGTCCTCCTCCTCCCCTCCTTCTCCAGCTCCTCCCCCCCTCCTCCTCCTCCTCCTCCTCCTCCTCCTCCTCCTCCTCCTCCTCCTCCTCCTCCTCCTCCTTCCTCTTTTCCCCCTCCTCCTCCTCCTCCTCCTCTTCCCGCTCCCTCCTCCTCCCGCTCCTCCTCCTCCTCCTCCTCCTCCTCCTCATCCTCCTCCTCCTATCCTCCTCCTTATCCCTCCTCCTCCTCCTTCCTCCCCGCTCCTCCTCCCCCCACCTCCGCCTCCCTCCTCCTCCTCCTCCTCCTCCTCCTCCTCTTCTTCTTTCTCCTCTTTCTCCTCCTCCTTCTCCTCCCCTCTCCTCTCCTCCCCTCCTCCTCCTCCTCCTCCTCCTCCTCCTCCTCCTCCTCCTCCTCCTCCTCCTCCTCCTCCTCCTCCTCCTCCTCCCCCTCGCGCGCGCCTGGCCTGCCAAGCGCCCTCGAGCTCGCGCAACGCCTCCTCGGAGTAGTGTCCGGCCTGGAGGCGCTCCTGGCGGGGTGCCGCTGCGTCCCAAGCGCCGTAGGAAGCCGCCAGGCGCCAACGGTCAACCCGTCCATAAGGACGTACGATAAGGATGCAAGGGCCTTAGAAGGCCACGTCGGCACTTTGCGGGCGGGGCGCGGCCAGCGAAAGCGGCCAAGGATGGGCCGACAGGGGAGGATGCAAACGTAACCTTGGAACATTGTTCATCCTTGCTATGCTGGTTGACTGTACGGTACGACCACTACAACAGAGACGATGACACTGGCGACGTCGAGACTGCTGGGGACGCGGACAGAGAAGGGGCGGCAAGAGGGAGGAGAGATGTTCGCCAGGGGCAGGCAACCCTCTCCAGACAACGAAGAACAACTTCCCAGGCTCCCCAAGTCGGTTCAGGACTTCCCCTCGAGGGGAAGCCGTACCGCGGGTTCGTGTCGTGTCGACTTCGGCGTTGGTTCCTGACACCACGGGGCTCGTTCAACCTTGAACGATCGGCCGTTTCCGAAACGTCAGACCGTTCAGCGATGAGCCGATTCGGGGCCACTGGCGACGTTCAACCTAGAACGCCGGCGGCGGAGTCGCCGCCGCTCGACACGACGCGAACCTGCCGCAGCCCCAGATCTCCGATTTTTTTCCCGCCTAATCCTTTGATCTCTTCAATCCTGTGTTTTTTTGTCTCCTCAATTTTGGCTCTTGGGGCCCGTCAACGGGTCCTCAGAGCATCAAGAACGGATCCGGGACGCAACCATACCCCTGCGGGTGGCCATCGGCGGCCGGGGCAGCAACGGTAAAGGCTGCGGCGGCGGCGTTGTCGTTGTCGTTGTCGTTGTCGTTGTCGTTGCCGTCGTTATCGTCGTCGTCGTCGTCGTCGGCGGCGGCGGCGGCGGCGGCGGCGGTGGCGAGGTCGGAGGAGGGAGGAGGAGGAGGAGGAGGAGGAGGAGAAGGAGGAGGAGGAGGAGGACGGGGAGGGAGGGGGGGAAGGAGGAGGAGGAGGAGGAGGAGGAGGAGGAGGGGAGGAGGAGGAGGAGGAGAGGGAGGAGGAGGAGGAGGAGGGAGGAGGAGGAGAGGAGGAGGAGGAGGAGGAGGAGAGGAGGAGGAGAAGGAGGAGGAGGACGAGGAGGATGAGGATGATGATGATGATGATGATGATGATGATGATGATGATGATGATGAGCATCCAATCCAAGAAGGTCTGGAGCTCCCCGCTCGATACAGCCTCCCGAAGCCATGGCCTTTCCCTATGGCGCTGCGGACGCAAGGCCTGACCCGTGCCCAAGGCACACTCGCAGACTCGCCTGAAAGCCTTGAGGCCGCCGACCGCCCCAGCCAAAGGCAGGCGGTCAGCAAACATCCGAGCCCTCACGGCGACTCAGCACGCAGACAGCTCGGCGCGCCACACCAGAGCAAAGTCCCCTAGGCACCAGGCCACAGACGGGAACGACTTGCTCTGAGGTGACCTTCGGAGGCGATCCTGACGGTCGGCCACAGCCTACCACCACGGTTCGGCCTCCGCCTGGCGCGGCACAGAGCACAGAGCGGGCTGGAGCGCAGCAGGCTGCGCGGGCTGTCGCGCCCAAGGGGCGCCAGGGAGTGAACCCTGGCGTGTGCCGAGCCCCACGGGGTACAGCCTACGCCACGGGGTCCCTCCCCCCCAGAGGCAGCAGCTCGGCGCGGGCATTCGTGATCCTTGGACCCGCCTGCGACACGAGCAGATCTTGATGAAAAGCGGCAGCAACTGGCAAGCCAATTGCCTCGTCGGGCATCTGAGCGTCTAAGGCCTGGGGCGCCTCGAGTGGGACCCCGAGGAAGAAGCTGGCCGCTGCGAGGGCCAGCCGCGAGGCGGCCGCCGCCTCCAGAAGCTCGCCTGCAGACAAGAAGCCTGTGTCGATGCCACCGCCGCTGTAGGGAACGCCGCCGTTCCCATCCTCCTCCATATCAGCCCGAGCAATACGTGTAAGGATGGGAAACGTTCCCAAGCCCCCAGGGCTCCGAAAGCGCCCCCTGGGGTCGGCGCAGGCGGCCTCGGCCGCCGAGGCAGCCGCTGAGGCCTCGCCCATCACGTCCTCCTCGACGTCGCCGATGAAGAACTCCACGAGCGGCACCTCGCCGAGCGCCTCCGTGGGCCCGCCTGCAGTGGGCCCCCCCGTGGGTATGTCCTTTCCGACGTCTACGAGCGCCTCCGCGACGATGTCATTGCCGCGCCCTGCGGCGCCCACCGTCACGTCCAGCACGTCGTCGGCTTGCCCTACCTGCACCACGCCGTGGGCGTCTACAGCAGCGGCCGCCGCGTCCAGGAACTCCACGTGCGACACCTCGCCGAACTCCTCCTTGAGCCCGCCTGCGGTGGGGCCCACCGTGGGTCCGTCCTCGTCGACGTCATCGAGCGCCTCCGCGACGATGCCATTGCCGCCCTCTGCAGCGCCAACCGCCGCGTCCTGCGTGTCGTCGGCGTGTGCGAAGCCGACGGGGCCCGAGCAGGCGACCTCGCCGCCGACCGACTCGTCCGCCTTCGGCGCCCCGACGTCGTCGTAGCCGAACTTCCACCACCTCGCTCCCGAGGCAAGCGGAGCCGCCACATGTGCACCTGCGCAGCGGACCCGCTCTCCGAGCGCGAAGCATGCGCCTGCGGACAAGCTCCGCCCGCGCCTGCGAGCGATGGCCCACTCCTGCGGGGCCGCGTCACAAGCCGCCCGCGCAGCGGGCTGGCGGCGGTGAGGCGTCGCCGTAGGCCGCACGAGCCTCCGCGCCCGATCCCGCGCACCGCCGATCGCTGTAGATCCGCCCGACCGCTGCAGGCGGTTCAGCGACGGCAGCTGCATGCGAGCGATGCTGGCGCCGCGCCTGCTAGCGCAGTGGAGTCCAGCGTTACGCCTGGACCTCTCCACCCGCTGCGCAGGCCCACGCCCCCGCTGCCGGCCAGAGGTCGCGGCCGCACCGGCCGCAGTAGCCACAGCGCCGCCTCCGCCAGCTGCTCCGCGAGCAGCGTCTGCGAGCACCTCCTCGACGATGGGCACGGCCAGCGCCACGCGCGTGACCAGCTCGTCGCGAAGGGTATCGGCAGCCGCACGCACGCCTGCCTGGTCGTCGGCAAGGAGAACAGCCTGAGCAGCTGCCGCCTTGTGCCGCTCGCTCACGGCCTCGAGCCGCACCTCCAGCAGCTGCACCGTGCCCTCCAGCTCCGCGATGCGGCTGAGGGCGGCTGCGAGCTTGCCGAGCTCCACGGCCCTCGCCGCCGCCCGCCGCGCCCGCCGCGCTGGCCACAGGGACCCCCCTGCGGCAGCGGCGTCAGGCTGCTCTGCCGCCTTGAAGGCGGCCGTGCAGCCGACCGCAACCATCTGCGCCCAATGGCGCCGCCCCGAACGCGCCGAGCCCGCCCGCGCGCCCGAGGAGCAGCTCTTGAGCCAAAATGGCTACGGATGATGATGATGATGATGATGATGATGATGATGATGATGATGATGATGATGATGATGATGATGATGATGATGATGATGATGATGATGATGATGATGATGATGATGATGATGATGATGATGATGATGATTGATGAGATGATGATGATGATGAGGATGAGGAGGAGGAGGGAGGAGGAGGAGGGAGGAGGAGGAGGAGGAGGAGGAGTTGAGGTTGTAGTAGGCGGAGGAGGAGGAGGAGGAGGAGGAGGAGGAGGAGGAGGAGGGGGAGGGGGAGGAGGAGGAGGAGGAGGAGGAGGAGGAGGAGAGGAGGAGGAGGAGGAGAGGAGGGGAGGAGGAGGAGGGAGGAGGAGGAGGAGGAGGAGGAGGAGGAGAGGAGGAGGAGGAGGAGCAGGAGGAGGAGAAGGAGGAGGAGGAGGAGGAGGGGGGGAGGAGGAGGAGGAAGGAGGAGGAGGAGGAGGAGAGGAGGATGAGAGGAGCAGGTGAGGACGAGGAGGAGGAGGGGGAGGAGGGGAGGAGGAGGAGGAGGAGGAGGAGGAGGAGGAGGAGGATAATGAAAAGGAGGGCGTAGAGGAGGGGGACGACGACGACGGCGCCGAGGAGGAAAAGGGCGAGGAGGACGTGGACGCGCAGCTCGCAGGCGGCAGACCGCGGCGGAGGCCCGCCCCGGAGCGGGGAGCGCCGAGGAGGAGGTGGAGGACGAGGACGAGGACGAGGACGAGGACGAGGACGAGGACGAGGACGAGGACGATGATGATGATGAGATTGATGATGATTGATGATGATGATGATGATGATGATGATGGATGTATTGATGTTGATGATGATTGCTGATGAAGATGCTTGATTACTGATGATGATGATGATGATGATGTGATGATGATGAGAGGAGGAGGAGGAGGAGGAGGAGGAGGAGGAGGAGAGAGGAGGAGGAGGAGGAGGAGGGGGCCTGTAAAACTCGCCTGTGCGGGGTTGCGCCTTGCCGACGCTCCTGGCGACCGTTCCTGGGTCGCCACGGTCTTGGGCCAGGCCGTGCAGCGAACAAGCAGAAGGCTTCCTTTCCAAGGGGGCTGTGCGTTCGGGAAAGGGGCTTCTGCGGGATCGCTGTGCTCGGCTCGTCTATTTGGTCGTCCCTCGCACGTTTCGCTGGATTCGTCTCGCGCGCAGGCGCCCTGTTCCAAGGGTCGGGGTCCAGCGCTCCCGCCCCTCGCGCCCTGATCTTCCTACTTCATTTCGGTGTTGGGTTCTCATTTTGCTTATTGAGCGCCGCGCGTCCCTGCGCGCCCTCTCCTGGGGGTTCGGTGTTTCGCCGGGATTTTTCTCTCACGTGCCTGCTGCAAACCGCCTCCCTTCGTGGGGGTTGCGCCTGGCCGACGCTCCTGGCGACCGTTCCTGGGTCGCCACGGACTTGGGCCAGGCCGGCCTGCAGCCCCATGAGGCACCCCACAAGAGGCATATGTTGCCAGACGCAAAACTGATTTGGACTGTCACAGGGGCCATGACGAAAATCAATCCCCTCCTCGCTTCCGTCCTTCCTCCGTGCAGCGAACAAGCAGAAGGAGGAGGAGAGAGGAGGAGGAGGAGGAGGAGGAG